ATGTCTCAATATGAACATTAAAAATGTATGTATTAAAAAATTATGGATTGCAAGTTACGACTCGGCCATTTCTTGTTTTTTATTTTACATATGCGTTTCAGGTGATAGTTGGCCATGGAGAGCCTGCACCTCGCCTCTGTAACAAGGACCCATTCGCCCTGAAGTCTCTCTCATATCTGGCACGCATCTTCCCGAAAGCAAAGTTTGTGCTCATGCTACGAGACGGACGGGCCACCGTCCACTCCATGATATCACGCAAGGTACGCTGGTTCCCTTAATCATCAGAGCTGCAGGCAGACACATTTCATCACAGACTTCCTCTTTCCAAACAGTCACGCCACCAATGTGTTTTTGCAATTGTGCTTTTAGACCCTGTCATGACTGGTCTGTTGGGTTTTCTATCATCTCTCCTTTCCCAGGTGACAATCTCTGGCTTTGACCTGACGAGCTACAGGGACTGTCTGACCAAGTGGAGCAGTGCAGTGGAGACCATGTTCAGCCAGTGCCAGGCAGCGGGGAAGGGCAGATGTCTCCCCGTGAGCTACGAGCAGCTGGTCCTCCAACCACAGGAGGAAATGAGGAAGTTGCTTAACTTTCTAGACCTGCAATGGGATCCATCAGTGCTTCACCACGAAGAGCTGATCGGCAAGGCCGGTGGTGTGTCTCTGTCCAAGTGAGTATTTGGCATTTGAGCAGACACCAAGCTTACTTCTCAGCTATAGAGGAAACGAACCTTGCAGATGGTTTCAGTGTTGCATGCTGTGGTTTTCCGATATCTACCTCTGAATCTTATCTTCCAGGAGTTAGGTGTTACTTTTCTTTGAAAATATATGTTGCAGTCAAAGTCCATTTCCCAGGCCACTCCCATTTTCAGATATTTCAAAACTGCAGCACATAAACTGAAGCAATCTGCATGACTAGATGAATGTGGCCAAGATGTCTCAAAGTGCATTTACACTACAAAAGCCACACAATGGAAGATGTTGAAAATGAAATGGGGAGAGTAACTTTCTGTGGTTAAGTAATGTGAAAACACTGTCAAGTCCCCACATATATTTTTTCACCAGTATTTTCTCTTGATGACAGGAGTCTATGTGAGTGAGAGGAAGGCGACAGAGGTAATTTAAAACTCTATTGATCAGCAGCAGCAGGTCAGAGTTCAGGGTGAGGGGAGTCAAACCTCAGTCACAGGAAACTGGTGCAGCAGGTTCTAGTCTAGTTCCTTTTGCTTAATCTATGTTTTCTATGCATGACATTTCACAAGGACAGAGTTCACAACACCGAGAACTGCAGAACAGCGTGACAGACTCAAAACACAACCTGTCTTCAATTGTGGCTGTTAAAGACAATAGATCCATGGGTCTATCTCTTATAGATTGGCCGATAACAATTATTTGTATTTGTATTGGAGCTATCCTTGTAGCATTTTTTTCAATCTCACACTGAACTCATGTTTGCCTCGGTGCAGGGTCGAGCGTTCAACAGACCAGGTGATGAAGCCTGTGAACACTGACGCCCTCTCCAAGTGGGTGGGACACATTCCTTCTGATGTGTTGAGTGACATGGCTGAAATCGCCCCCATGCTGGCTCGCCTTGGCTACGACCCTCACGCCAACCCCCCTAACTACACAAGACCAGAGCCCATGGCCTCTCCAGTCAACTACTCACAGGTGAGCTTGAAGGAGACATGTTATGCTCATATTCAGGTTGATCATTTTCGTTTGTGTTATTACGCGTTTTATCTCCTTTAAAAAATGTTATATAATTCTTTATTCTGTTTTTTATTCCAATGAAAAATGGGTGGTCTAGATTTGATGAACGTTGTTTCTTTTTCAGAGTTTTAAAACAGCAGAATCTCCACATCTCAGTTAAACAACAGAGGAGAAATCTGCTCGCTCAGCTTTGCTGTTCCCTGATATGGATGCACCTTAATCACAGACCAGCTCAACAGTAATTACACCTCATGAACATTTCTATAGTGTCTCATATGTATTTTTGAATTGTATGTAAGACTTGAATGCAGCGGTAATGTCTGTTCACAGACTAAAATACAGATTTATGAGATGGTTGGGAGTTTTAAATTTCAGCTCTTGTGCTGTATGTGGATTACCTGAGGTTCACGGCAGCTCAGACATTATCACGCTGCATTTTGATGCATCCTCACACCTCGTACCTGCAAGTTTTTCATGTCTGTCGGTTGTTATGGCTTCACCACAAATGTGAATGTGTCTTTACACAAATCTCTTACTCACTGAGATTTCAGTCAGTGTCCATGAAGCATAATGACTGTATATTTTTGAAGATGTATGTTTATTTTCTTAATAAATTATTTTGCCGTTGACCAATCATTCAGGAACTGGAAAGCTGTTTATTCCCAACTGAGAATTTTTAATTGTTGTATAATGTCGAACATGAAATAAAAACATGCTTACATGTCACCAAATAATGTTGTTTACATGCTTTGTCATCCATCCAATGTGTGTAGCTGATAGCTGAAACAGTGCCCTCCAGTGATGCAAAAACAACCGGACAGACATTACCCTGAGTGCAAAGTGCTTGAAACAGAAAAAATGTGAAATTTAGTTACAGTTTCATTGTAAATGAGATTATATTGGGAACAAAATGAGCTACATCTCATGCACTAACACTGGATTGAGGTAACAGTGTATTTCTACTCAGGACAATGAGCTAAACACTTCTAACTTTTAGTCACCTTTCATACGGAGGGTGGGGCGGGGTCACGGCAGCACACTGGGTGTGAATGTAGGATTGTGTTTTGGTGAGTTTAGTTCCTCTGTTGGCAGGTTGCGAGGGTGAGGCCACGCCCCCTCATTGCTGGGACGAGTGAGGTGGCCCGGAGTGGGCGGGGCTTCTGAGCTGCACCTGATCATGTGCAGGAAACATCTGGAGAACTGAGCGACACATACACAGGAATTGAAGAGCAGTGAAACACGTGATGAAGAGACGAGCGCTTACAGAGCCGCACTGGTATGTGGCATGTTAAAGCAACACTATGTAACTTTACTGAGCAACAGTGCCCTCTGCAGTCTCCGAGCGATGAAGTTGTTTTCATGTTGTTTCCACTCACCAAAGTTACACTGAGCAAGAACAGACGTTCAGGGTGAGGAGTGAGAATTAAAGAGGAAACATTTTCCATATTTCAAGTCAGTGAACCAATTTGGATGCTGCTACTTCAATGTAAAAATGTTGCAAGGTGTTGCTTTAACTCGATACAAGAACATTTCCACTTTCAGGAAAGAAATCTCTTTGATTACAGAGGATGTTCTATGTGAATTGTGTCGTCTACGCAGAGATAAATGTGACAAGGTTAGACTAAGGATACTACGGCTGGTAATCAGTTTTTGCAGCAATGTAAGAATTTCATTGTACAGGGAAACGTGTTTCTTTACTGTGCATATGACAATAAAGCTTTGAATTGAATTAAACTATTAATTGACGGAGCCTATAAGGTTTCCTAGAAGGACACATGGAGTATTTACGCAGAGCGGCTGATACCTGCTTGTTGAGCAGCACATAAATAAAAGGGTTGAGGACGGTGCTGGCCTTTGCTAGGAGGGCGGGGATTAAACTGGCAGTGGACGGCAACATGCCTGGCCGTCCAAAGGAGGAGAGCATCGCCACAACACCATATGGCATCCAGCACAAGAGGTAGCCCGTCACCATGAAGACCACCATCAGAAGGATACGGCCCTCCCTCTGCTCAGCTGACGACCGGTTGATGTCGGTGACCTGGAGACAACAACACACACACAGTTCATAGTGAGCGGCGAGCATTGGAAGTGGAGCTGGACATCACACTGGGGTCAAAGGTCAAGCTTACCTGCCTCGCCACCTCTCGCACGGCCAGCAGGATCCTCCCATAGCAGAACAACATGAGCATCAGAGGCAGGAGCAGGCAGAAGATGAACAAGCAGCTGACGTAGGAGCGAGATGTGGCTGAGCGCTGATGCCACTGGACTGAGCAGGTGGTGCCGTGACCCTCGGGCCCGTAGCTGCTCCGCAACACAGGACATTTTCTCTGATGTCACATGGTTTAAGGTCAGTAAGTTCCTGTTCTGTGTTGTTCATATGTTCTTCTCTGCCTGGAGTCATGATCACTGAAGTCCAAATCTTATCTGATTGATAAAAACTAAAATAGCCAACATTTTACTTTTACAACTTCTTATAGGTTCTTCTTTTAAACACTGCATACTCACCTCCATGGGTTACCCTCATCAGAAAAAATAAATGATTGATCTATTGAGTGAACTGTGGGGTTAACATTGAGGCAGTACAGACCTGCTCCAGCCCAGCAGCGGCGGCAGAGTCCACACCAGTGAGTAGAGCCAGGAGGCCTACATCATTTAAAGAAATAAAAACGTAACATGAGGCAACAATATAAATATGATTTAAAAGACTATAACTCTGCTGAAATGAGATATGAAACACTTTGTTCTTTGTTTTAGCAATTTGATGTATTGATCCCAAGATTATAAAGGGTGACGACATGCTCTGATCTCCACCACTGATTAATGTAGATTGATAATAAGCTGTGGAGCCACACGACCACTCACCGAAAAGTGCATTGGAGAAACCGTACCACCGGCAGCCGTAAGACCCGGTCAGCCACCGGCCGTGCACACTGGCTGCCAAGCTGAGCGGAGTCCCGAAGATGCAGACGAGCATGTCGCTGGCGCTGATGTTGATGAGCAGCAGGTTGACCGGAGTCCGCAGCCAGTGGAAGCGGGAGAACACCAGCAGCGCCATGAGGTTACAGAGGAAGCCCAGCACCAGAATGAACCCGAGGAACACAGCCACCGCGGTGTGACCTGCCCGGCTCAGCCCGGGGTCCGACCCAGAGCTCTGCCCGGTGCTGATGCTGTTGCTATGCTGCGAGAGGGTCACCATGGCAACCGGGTTATCGGCGTATAGAGACAAATCGGAGACAGGAGGAGGTGTCCCTTCAAAAAACAAGAAAGAAAAAGGAATGAAGAGGTGGGGGGAGTTTCCTCAGCCACACACTGAGCATATAGAATTATGACATGACCACAAGATGTTTAAGTAGCCCAGAGCTGCGGATGGAAGTGGGTTAGTCCGTCCCAACTGAGCAGGAAGTGTGTCTGCATCATCTCTTTTTCATGTAACTTAAACCAACCTGACCCTTAAAAAGACAGAAACATTAAGAAGAACAAGGGAAACTCACTTAATTCACAACTGCTTAAACATCTTATCTTTTTAGTGACATTTGTGAAAATCAAATCAGATTAATCTATAGGCCAGATTGGGGACCTACATAGCTGAGCCAGCTTATCAATAATACAAGATGATTCAGGGGATAAGCCAAGAAGTCACTCAGCCTGAGATGCCGAGGGCACATGAGATTGGTGATTATTTCACTATTTTTATTGATTCATCTTTTCTTGAATCTATTTTATCTTGATGAGTGAAATCCCAAGATTGTAAATATCTGAAGGTGAAGAGGAGTTCACCGAAAAGTCAAACCACTCCACCTCGATGTGCTCAGCATCTACCACTGGAGGGGGCTATTTCTCTGACGCATGAAGGGTGTCAGCTGCCGTAAGACCTGCACACGCGTCAGTTCAGAGAAAGTTTATATAT